GACGTGTGTTCACGCTTTGCTTGTCCTAACTCGCCAATCAATTTCCAAGGCCACTTCATAAAGGACCTTATTGCGGTGACTGCTTACGCTCAGACCCCGCCCCCGGACCCGGCGACCTCACTGACGGATTGTGACTCTGGAACCGGCCCGCTCATGGCTGGACTGCACTCGTTCGGGAGTTAATTACCCATTACTTATACTCCTATCCTTCTACACTTAATTAAATGAATCATAACACTCTGCCCTTCCACACTTTATCTTATTTACCAGTTTATAATCGTTGGAATACGTTCATCGTCCATTACCCAGCCAGGCTATTTCGTATCCTACATTCTTTACGCCGACGTTCTCTATATCCTACACAACCTTTAGATAAATCTTATAAGACACGCGTTCTGGCAGGCATAGCTCACGATATTTTCTCGTTAAAAGTATATTTGCAAAGATAATGCTGTTCTGCTGATAGAGGATAATCTTTTCATACAGTTTATACGGTATGGTCGCTGTCTCGGCCGCTTATCTATGTTGCAATGACGAGGCCCTCCGGGCCTAAAATATAAAACGTATTTATGTATTTGCCTTCGTGTCATCTTGCGCTCCTGTCAGTTACTGTTTGCGTGCGTTTAACCGCCCGGCTCACTAAAACCGTAGAGCCTATCGATATTTTTTTATCGGCTGATCGCAGCCAGACGAGTTTTGAATGCACCTCCGCTAACGCGCATGCTTGAAAAGGCGGCCTGCCGAGCTACCCTTACGCTCTTTGACTCCACTAAGGCTTGTTCATCTAAGTGGTCTCCATGCCTTGTGATTTGGTAAATTACGTGTTCTCGAACATCCTACCTCGGCAATGTATTCTGTTTAAAACACAGATGGCAGGAATGCCAGGGGGCAGCCTGTCTTCTCGTCTGCAGTCTATTTCTTTTCATCCCCTCTAGGTTTACTGCAATAGCCTTCGATCCGCCGGGCTGCGGTCTCAGCATTCCTCCCGCCCGCGACTGGAGTGATCCCGAAGTCCTGCTACAGGATGCCCGAGTTGGGGTGATGCTGATGCATCAGTTGGGTCATCTGCCCTTCTCCTGTGTCGGTTGGTCAGAAGGCGCCCAGTCAGCTCTCCTGGCAGCCTCGGAACTTAATTTTGACGGTCAGCCACAGTTTGATTGACAATTTCTGTTATTCAAGTAGGTGGAGTGTCTGGCTTGTGGGAGTTGTGGGAGTTACTCGCTGAATGATGATTGTATGCATTGTAGAAATGTTACTTCTTGCTCCCCTTGTGTTCTTCGTGAATCATTCCTGTGTATTAGGTGCTGGATTTCCTTGAGATCAGTTTTAGTCACCCGTTTTGGTATTGGTAGCGAAGATTCAGACCTAAGCAACATATATCCTTCTACTGAGTTTCATTTTCAATTAGTTTTCCTGTAAATAATGAAAACGCTTAGCTTTTCGTTAGGTCTTAACTTGTGAATACGTTTTCAATAGGGACTTTGTTCGAACTTAAGGTCGTATTTTTTGCCCGAGAGAGACTAACCACAATTCAGTCAGACCCGTTGACAAAATTACCGAATTTTTCCAGGTTAAGCTCTCAAATATAATGCATATATGAAAACATTTCCGCGAATTATATGTACCAGGCACTTGGAAAGCTAAAAGGTACGTCAGCCCATAGCTATTGCTTCGGAATATGAATTGTTGAACTATCAGTTATAACCTTCTTCTTGAGGCATTTTTTTTCGGCTAACACAAAAGCAAACGAAGTGTCTAATACAGTAGTGCTTTTGAAATCGCGCTGGGGTATGCCACAACGCAAATAACCCGGTATCACCACCAGATTGTTCACGCATTCGTGTTTTCTATCGTTTGCGAGAGGGCAGAAAAGAATGAGCACCTTAGGTGATTGATGCTACGTCTTTGTGCATCTGTGCAGTTCACGTGTGGGTTTTGAATCAGCACCCGGGGCCCCACTTTGATTGGTTTAAGAACGTGTTGAAAAGCTTCTAGAGGGGGATACACTTAGCCAACGTCATATGTCATTTTGATCTATTGCTGAATGGCAAACAAATTGAAGCCCATGGACAACTAGAATACCTTAACTTCTGTGAGGTGCTGTGATTTTGCAAGCCACATTCATAGCTCTCGCAGTCGACCTCGATCTCCTTTTTCGGGAAAACCTTTAATTTGAGTTCTTTGTTTACCTGAAGTTAAAAAACCTACTAAGACCTACGGTTATTTGGGATACTTAGATTAGCGAAGGATAGCATAAACAAAAAGCTTGTGCTGTGCATCCGCAAACAATATCATTAGTTTTTTAATCAGTAGTTACGTCGAGGCAGTTTTGAAGGCAAAAATTAAAATGAACAGTTCTAAAAATAAAGGCAAATTCTTGTCGTTGGCTTTGTTGTGGAGGTTTTTTGTTTACTCGGACAGTACTCGCATAACTTGACAGACTTTAAGGAGTTTTTCTTGTTTATCGAATTGTCCCTGCAGTAGATCTTTCACTGGTGTCCCCGATGAAAGAAAGTCGTAATTGCATGGATAGAAACAGTTATTTCCTGGAGAGTTTTAAACGCGTGAAAAATCTAAATTCAAATATTCAGACTCGATTCAAAGCCTCGTCGTCTGGTGTTTGGAGGAAGACACTGCTGCAGCGGATATATCTGAGACCACTGGTCGTTTTGCCGGAAGCTCCTTTAATCTGGAATCCTGGCCAGACAGCCGACGTCTCCCGCTACAGGCTCTCTATGGCAATCAATACCTACGAGATAGCTGGAAGGCCTACGCTGAAGCGAAAGCGGTCCATCGGATGCGCTCTGCAGACCTCCACTCCCTTCCGCGGCGTCTCGGCCAAATGCCATTACTCCACATTGGGTCTCAGTTAAAAGGCTCACAGCGACAACGCGACGCCAACAGCCAATCAGCTGAGTCGACACTTCTTGCCTGTTCGGGGTGCCGGTCAACCGTCTGGCCCGACTGTCCCGACACCGAGCAAGGAGCGTGCTGGCCGCCGCACAAACTGCATGCGGATTTTTTTCAGTCGTGTATCGAAACGTTTCTTCTGAAATCAGCTCCCTAGATTAAATATGACATTGTTCCTATTTATTTATTTATTGCCAATTTACAAGCAAGGTCAAAATAAGATAAATTAATTGAGCACCCCTTGGGCGCCTTCTAAACCCTGGAAGACAGGAAAAAACCTAAAACAAATTCCCTTTTTTGCAGACAATATTGACTTAGTTTTAGTGTTGTGCTTGGTGAATAGTGGGGCAATAGGAAGTTTGTTTTAAGTGAAAAAAAAACCGACTTCAAATGTACGCTACTAGCGAAGGATATAATAAGGTTTATTTGGAAAGCACATCTTCGGCGCCGTCAAAAACCCCGGTTCTAACTAAGTATTAAGATTACGAACATATAAAGTGCCCGGCGGTATGAAACCTACATATTCTGAGGTAAATGTATAGTCTTCGCTTGAAGACAGATATTGTACTTGAAAACACAATACCGACTGGCATGTTATTCCACCGAAAGCTAAACCTACAAGCAAAGGATAGAAGGCATTAAGAAATGGAGGATAAAGTGGGGTTTAATCCGTAAGAAATAACGTAGGAGATACAGACAATTAACGCGAGTAAGGACTGAAATCCAGGGAAGATTTTAACTATTATTAAAAACGGTAAGGCAAACAGAAGCCAACTTCCAGTGTTGGAACCAAGAAAAGCGTTAGGTTAGTTAGCTGACCTCTTCTTGAGTAGGAAATATCTGAGACCGCTTTTTTGAATATTTTTGACTTGCACCCACCACTGGCACGCGGTTGCGACCATACTGCCATCATCTTCAGTCAGTCGGCTAGTATTTTCGCGGAAAATTAGACTACGCTTTTCCAGTCCCCATTTTCATGTGAAAATCTCAAAAATGTATATAAGTCACAGCCAGGTGAATATAGACAGAGTCGCATACTTCGCTGGTTTCTGAAGGTTAATTAGGCACACAGTCAAGCAGTATATGGAGTTAAAGCCAATATTTTAAAGCCTTCACAGATTCGGACATTATAATCGCTGTGGATAGGTTATTCCACGGTTCCACGGCCCAGTTGGATAAAAAATACTTTCTCCCATTAATTCTTCAATGGACTACACGTAGTTTGAAGGGATAACTCCGGAGATAATTAGTAATATTGGCGAGGTGGGAAATTCATCACAATAGGTGTGCAGTCCAAAACACACACGATTTGGGAATTTTGTACCACGTCTCCGCGTACCTGTCTCCAACTAAGAGAATAGATATTAAGGTTGTTTACGCGAATCTCACAAAGCTGTGCACCTTTAATTCCTACTACATTCATGGTTCACCGCTACAAACTTTTGTGTAAGTTGTTTTTCTGCTGCATCCACAGTCTCTTTGCCTGGATCGCGTATTCAAGATGCTGCCTAGTAAAGGTTCTGAAGGTTTCAGAAAATAATTCTTCATAAAAAACTGTAAACGGTCGCTTCATAGCATACAATTATAGTGACCTAATGTGCTAAAACGTGGTTTCCGCGCACGCCTCTGCGGCAGACCGCATGTCTGTCTCTCGTGTCCACTAAGCACGTGCACGCCAGAGCGTATCAAAGGCCGGTTAAGGTCACGGAATTGTGTTCATCCTCTGTCTGTCCTTACAGGCCAATCACTTTCCAAGGCTATTTTACAAAGGACCTTATTGTGATGATGTAAATATTTTGAGGCCCCACAACCGTCCGCCTTTCAAAACCGATATTTCCCAAGCAGTCATTAAAAACAGTAAGGTTAAGAAAATTTGACATTACCACCACTGAGATAATATTCCATGGAGTTCGCGAAAGCATGTTTAGACTCAAAGGTGCAGACATTAAGTAAGCGGTTCAGTCCAAAAACGTTTGGTAAAAGAAATCAAATGCTCAAAAATAAAATAAGGCAATTTCACCGGGTTGAGCTACTTAAAGAGAAGAAGCTTCACACAAATTTTCATCAAAAGCATGCACCCTAAATTTTGATCTTATGTTGCCTCAAAGGTACAGGAAAAAGGGCAGCTACTCACCAATGAGCCGTAACCCTCGTTCCAGTGAACCTTTTTTTATATATCTGATGAAGGGCATCTCACAACGTAGCCTTTCTCTCTTGGCTCCAACCATCGCTCCCGCAACTATTTTTTTCTAATTCTCTGAACTACACGATTAGAATGCTACTTTTAATACTTTTACAGAAAAGGCAGAAAACAATTCAATCAAAGCATCAACGATCCCAAATTTAACTTCAGCCACGTGAACGTCTCAAAACTTTTAATGCAGCTAGTTTGACCAACCGCAATAATACCGCTGAATTCTAAAACGTGTCGTTTTATCGCGCCTTGAAGAACACACCAAAGGAACTTTAGGTTGACTTCGCTTATCGGAAGGCAAGAAGGAGACGAAAGTTAATAATGAAACGACAGACATTATTTAATGGAGCGTGTATGCC